AAAATTATGGTGAGATGTAGGACTTCTGGAACTAGAGGTTGATTACAGCTGCCAACTTGAGCCAGTAGGTAAGGCCATGTTGCATAGAAAGCAAATTATCTGGTCTAAGGATCTTCCCCTCTGGTTAAAGGTTCCCTTTTACACAACCATGAAATGTAGACATTTCTCATATTGACTACTTCAGTGTGATGTACATATTTCTCATATTGACTACTTCAGTGTGATGTACATGGGATGATCCTTGAAGAGTATTCAGAATCTGCAGCTGGTTTAATATATGGTAGCACAAGCAGTTTTGGGTACCTCTAGGCTTGCACATGTAGCACCTCTGCTGTGGGAGCTGCATTGGATGCCAGCTTGCTGACGGGTCCAATTCAAGGTGTTAGTTATCATCTTGATAGTATAGGACTGGGTTATGTTTCGTCCCTATTTCATCAACCCATTCCAACCCAGGCAGGCAAGGAGGGTATGTTGTGAACTGTGCCAGTAAAGAATTTCAACTGACAGGGTCTAGGAAAAAAAGCCTTCTCTACTATTGCTTCCACCTTATGGAACCCTTTGCCCCTGGAGGTAAGTCAGGCCCCTACTCCCCTGGCCTTTCAGAAGAGTGTCAAGACTTGGCTTTGCCAACTGACATGGGAGTTTAAGAGTGATAAGACCGAAAGGAGAGAATATTTGCAGCTCAGGTTGAACTCTGAGATCGTTGGTGCTGTCTGAGCTTGGATGTTTCTTGCAGACATTTCATTACCAAACTAGGTAATGAAACGTCTAGAGTCGTTGGTGGGTGCTGCTGCTCCCTTTGTCTTTTTAACCTTCTCAAGTGTTCTTTTTAACTTTGTTTTAATTCCATTTTTAAACTTTGTATTAACTATGGTTTTTATATGATCTTACGATTTTATTTGCAAACTGTTCAAAGTCATGCAAGCGAGATGGGTGTTATAGGTAGGCAGGCAGGCAGGCAGGCAGGCAGGCAGGCAGGCAGGCAGGCAGGCAGGCAGACAGACAGACAGACAGACAGACAGACAGACAGACAGACAGACAGACAGACAGACAGACAGACAGACAGACAGATAGATAGATAGATAGATAGATAGATAGATAGATAGATAGATAGATAGATAGATAAAGATTAGTTATGTGTTGAGTCCTATGCATTTTATCTCTCTTGTTTTCTTTGCTGCCTCTCTATTTGCAACTTGGCCTCATCCAAAAAAATAATAAAAATCCTCCTCCCCTTAACAAACCCCATTTGGGCAGCAATGCATAGCTGAAATAGAAATGATTGCTGAAATAGAAAGCTTGTAATCTATTTAAATAAAAATGTAAATGTTCATTTGTTCAAAATCTTAAATCTCCGAAAGTTCTTCACCGATTGCTTTGAAATTTTGACACAACGTTGCATTCGAATACGCGCGTGTTTTTACAGTATATACCTACTATTATATAGATGTCACACCTGTGACACAAACGTGCGCTTTCTCTTTTCTTTCTTTTCTTTTCTGGGTACAGCTAGTAGTCAAATATAGAATGACAGACATTTTCAAAGAAGTGGTTGGAGGGACAGAGCAGTTTATACAATAGGTTGGTGAACTATGATCCTGTGGGAGAGGAGACACTGTTTCATGCCTCTGCTTTTGATGAAGCACTGATATTAAGGAGTTACAACCATCTTTACATCTCCTCAAATTGAGCTATTACAGGCTTGGAACTCCCGATTTTTAAAACTGCCAAAGGGAACACTGTATTGTGTAATTAGAGCGTTGTTGACTATTAACCTGTGTCTGTCTGATTTTTTTCTCTGTACACCTGGTCTAGTCAACTTACAGATGGTGTGATTGTGGGAAATCTGGTGATATGTAGACAAAAGAGAATGGGTTGGACTTTCTATTCTGCAGACAGACAGAAACTACAACACTAATAATAATAATAAAGTTGGAAGGGACCTTGGAGGTCATCTAGTCCAACCCCCTGCTCAGGCAGGAAACCCTATACCATTTCAGACAAATGGCTGTCCAGTCTCTTCTTAAAAACTTCCAGTGTTGGAACATTCACCGCTTCTGATGGTTGTGTGATAATTTGATAATGCTTTTTAAAGGCAGAGGATATTTTTCATGTTTTTAGTGGCTTCCATGGGTATATCGGTTCTAACATGAGAAGAGGGC